TTTGCATTTTAAGGAACATCTCAGCTGGATTTTCTGCATGAACTCTGCATGAACTCTGTACACACACATCACTAGCAATTTCACAGAAAGACCACACACGGTGTCTTTGCATCTGATCTTTATCCTTCTTAGAACATCCTTCTTACAACAGCCTTGTTGCTTGTTCTCTTCTCCCTTCAGTTTGTTTCTAAAAAAGTCACTTTTCATGGGTTCTTTGTTGGTGTTACTATTTAAAATTTGAACACCCTTTCCTCTAAACCCCATTTTCTTTATTTTTTTCTATAACAGTGCCTTTTGAAACACCGTTTACTTACACACAATACTGTCTATCTCTGTCCACTAGAATGTGAATGCCAGAAGGGCAGGGGGTTTGAAGGTTTTGTTCATTTCTGCATCTGCGGTGCCTAATCACATGACATGTTGAGCATCAATAAACACTTGTTCATGAATATCTAGCTTGGTGTCCACCATGACTTGAGAGGGCGACAGAACTGATACTGTTAATCCCACTTACAAATGGGGAAAAGTGGTAACTCATGGTTAAGGGTCATTATATTTCATCTATAACAATTATTAGTGTATTAAACAATTGTTTATTAAGTATTTACAATTCTGGGTAATGGAGATATAGGCACCAAAAGAATTTGTCACTATCGAGCTGGCCTTGTGGCGTAGCAGTTAAGTGCGCATACTCTGCTGCTGGCGGCCTGTGTTTAGATCCCGGGCGCGCAATGATGCACTGATGCACCGCTTGTCAGGGCATGCTGTGGCGGCGTCCCATATAAAGTAGAGGAAGATGGGCATGGATGTTAGCCCAGGGCGAGTCTTCCTCAGCAAAAAGAGGAGGATTGTCATAGATGTTAGCTCAGGGCTGATCTTCCTCACACACACACAAAAATAATTTGTCACTATCTTTCTAAAACTAATACTATAGTAAGTTGTAGTGACTCATTATTGAAAAGAAACAAGAATTGGGAAGGTTTTTAAAAGAAACAAAGTATGAGAGAAAGGGCAAAAAATAAAAGCGTCTCAAGAGAAAGGAAGAGGGGATTTAGCTCTAGTTGTGACATGAAGGAGGTTTGGAATACCTCTAATAGACACAAGCTGTGATTCATAACTTAAATACGAACTATGAAAACTTACTCCTTTTCTTTATCAATACATTACATCATTGCTGTAGATGGTCCTCAAAATGCTAAGTAAGATTTAATTCGATTTGATGATTATTTGTTCAATCATTGGCGTATGTTTATGGGACCACTGTGACAGTGCTTTTTTAAAGTGTGATTCTGGGACCATCTGCATTAGAATTTTCTAGATAATTGTTGAATATGATGATCCCAGTATCCCACATAAGACTTTATGAAATGAACGTTCTGTGACTTTTATTGAATAACGAGCTTCCAGAGCAACTGCTTTGCACACTAAAGTTCAAAAGTACTAATTGTCCTAAGCATGTTACATCATGAAAAGCTCCGTGGAGACACAGACATGAGTAAAACATTGCAAGTAATTCATCTTTCATGCTTACACTGTTTTTTTCTTTTCTTTGTAAAATCAGTGTATCAACATATGCTGAGAAGTCACAGTACAATAATGAACTGGACTTTGTCCCTCACCCTGAAGAACTAAAATATGGGTAGAAAGTAGATTCACTATGATGATGTAATGTCCCAGTGAACAAATTAGCAGTGTATAGAGTGCGCTGGAAGCAGAAAGCCTAAAGGGATTAATTCCAGCTCACGCACGCTGTGAGTGGAGTGAGGCATGCTTCACAAAGGACTGGGCTTTGAACTAGGTTTTATAGGATGTGTAGAGTTCGAGAGGCAAAGTTGGGTTATGATAGTATTCATTTAATGACATACGAAGGTTTAGAGAAAAGCTATTTCAGCAGTCAGTAATGTGATTTGTACCTTCATGCTGCTTTATTTTCATTTGTTTCAAATGCAGGCGCAGACTCTCAGAAAATGTCCATCACAAATGAGAGTGCAATAACAGAATTCATTCTCCTGGGGCTCACAGATGGCCCCGAACTCCAGCCTCTCCTCTTTGTGCTGTTTCTGGTTGTGGACTTTGTCACCCTCTTAGGAAACCTGGGCGTGGTGGTGTTAATCAGACTCGACTTTCGCCTTCACGTGCCCGTGTACTTCTTCTTCACTAATTTAGCCTTTGTAGATTGGTGCTATACCTGGAACGCAACCCCGCAGATGTTGACTAATTTCTTACCAGAAGAGAAGACCGTCACCTTCGCTGGCTGCTTTACACAGTGTTACATATTCATTGCACTTCTCCTGACTGAGATTTACATGCTGGCAGCAATGACCTATGACCGCTACTTGGCCGTATGCAACCCTCTGCGCTACAGTGCGAAAATGTCCAGGCGTGTCTCCATCTGCTTAGCCACATTTCCTTACGTCTGTGGCTTCTCAGATGGGCTATTCCAGGCCATCCTGACCTTCCACTTGACCTTCTGTAGATCTAGTATCATCAACCACATCTACTGTGCTGATTCGCCACTCGTGAAGCTTTCTTGCTCTGATACTTATGTCAAAGATCAGCCATGCTCATACCAGCTGGCTTCAACCTCTCCAACTCTCTCACCATCATCCTGGTGTCCTATGCCTTCATTATTGCTGCCATTCTCCGCATCAAATCAGCAGAGAGAAGGCACAAGGCATTCTCCACCTGTTGTTCCCAAGTGATGGCTGTTACTCTATCTTATGGAACTCTCCTCTGCATGTATGTAAGACCACCAACAGATAAGACTATTGAAGACTCAAAAATAGTAGCTGTCTTCTATACTTTTCTAAGCCCAGTGCTTAATCCATTCACCTACAGTCTGCGGAAAAAAGATGTAAAGCAGGCCTTGAAGAATGTGCTCAGATGAAATATGGTCACTAGGATGGCAATGCCTCCAATTTCCAATAAACCATAACTGTAAATATTTGGCTCAAAT